GTGGAGGAAGTCACACATGAAGTTGCAATTCTTTGCTAATTAGGAGGTAGGCCTTTTATCTAAAGTCCACCAAAACATGCCAACATGTGCCGACCAAGCCAGTGACCCATTTTGAGGCACAAAGCATACAGATTTAATAGCCTAATCTGAACTATAGGGATGTTGTGATTCTGATCAAAACCTCTGATTGGTTTGATATCTTTTATGTGTATAGTGTTTAGAAGACAGATAAGACTGGCTGGGCTATGCGATCTATAAATAGGCCTCTTTGTGTTTTATCCAATAAAGCTCCAAAGTGAGCAGCAATAAAACCATGCATACATCATTAAGTTACAAAGCGCAGGAACCAAATGAGAAGTTTAGAATCTCAACAGGGGACTCAGACTCATTATAAGATATTATTGCATCTTGTCACGGCAACGTCCAAAAGCAGTAAGTCTGTGAGTCTCAACCCTCCGTTTAATTAAACCGGGTCACACTTATCAGAAAAATTGGACCAACAAGTATTGCCATGAAAATCTACATCAAGTAAATGTGATGTAATTACAGAAAAGATTAAACTGTTTCCAACAAGATGCATCTAAAAGTGGCAGGTGGATAATGTAGTTGTGACGTACAGTTGGTCTCCGAGCGAATGGTCTGCCAGCATGAGGGCCCTTCGTAGGGGCCGGGGTGTGGGCTGGTCCCCTCCCTTGAGTGCTTCTTTTCACTGCATAGATTTTCAGCCCTTTCATATTGTAATGGTCATGGTGGCCTGAGGCTGCGGCGCTAACCTTTTAGCTGTGTGGGACGCATTATTCCTGACACAATGGGCACAATCTCTGTCTCGTTGGCTAACACTCTGCTTTATATCTCTCCTTCCCTCTTCCAGCCTCCTTCTCAGTTGCCTTCTCCCTCACCGGCTCTCGGGGAGCGCAAGTTTCTCTTCCCCTCCAGCGCTCTCCCTCCCATTTGTTTCCCTTCCTCTCTTTAAAGATGCATTATTCCTCCTCACGAATGCTCAATTAAACTATTCCAAACCTCTTTTTTAATGCAAATTTCTAATATTGTAACAGTGTATGTAAATAGCTTGCAGCATAATTTGATGTTCCAAGTCTTGTGCCTTCTGTCTCTGCATGCTCCTTCCGACTGTGCATGCACCTGTTTGTGTGTGTTTGTATGAGACTGCGTGGTGCCATACACCTCCGAGCGCGCTGAGCGAGGCTGTGTGAAGTTGCACACGAGCCCGTCTGGGTGCTCGCCTGCCGGCTACTCTGCTTAAGTGCGTGTGTGTTGATACTGTACGTCTGTGCTGTTGCGAGTCCGTGCTACACTTTCACCCGCCCACCGCCCACGATGCCGCAACTCCATTATCTGCCGCTGAACACCGCCGCTCCTGCACCTTTCCGACAGGCGGTGTCAAAGGTTCAGAGGCGAAAGCCGACGGCGGAGGGGGAGTGGTGTATAATATGTGGGTTTATGTTACAGCTGCTGCGGTAATAACTGCACTGTAGTTTTACAGTGCTGCAGAGTCCTGAGGGGGCCAGCGAAGCCAACATGAAAGGCTTAAACAGCAGCACGCCTGTTTATGCAGCAAAGAGAGGAGGGCTAGGTGAGCTGGTTAATCAGGGGTATGAAGCATAAACACACACACACACACACACACACACACACACACACACACACACACACACACACACACACACACACACACACACACACAAATGAGAAAACACTTCCTGCATGCTCACAAATATGCATAAATAAACACTACAACGCAGTTACTTTGACACATCCTGTACACTCTTTAACTCGCAAAGAACAAACAGAAAACTCCACACACATGTCCCCACACACACACACACACACACACACACACACACACACACACACACACACACACACACACCTCACAGAAATGAATCAAAGCCATTGAACTAGGCCTGGAGGCCCTGAGAAGTGGCCCAGGTGAGCTCTCTCTCCAAACCCACTCCATTATGACGATCTCCACACAGGCACCCCGGCTCGAGCTAATTAACGGCCTATTACTATGCAGATATATGCGGGGCCAAGAGCAGAGCGCAGGCAATAAAATGGGCTTGATGAACGAGAGAGGGGCAAGAAAAGGGAGAAGGGAGGTGGGGGTTGGGAGGGTGGAGTTGGTTAAGAGGGGTCGGGGCCAGGGGAGGGAGAGACGGGTGAAGAGAGGGATGGGAAAAGAGAAAGTAATAGGCAGACAAGAGGAAGGTGGGAAGACAGAAAAGGGAAAAGAGGGCCAGGGGGCTAGAGGGAGGGAGTCAGGGAAGGACGGCAGCATGACAGAGAATGAAAGCATTACAAGTGCACTTTACACTCCTTATTACTAGTTGCTTGTCAGGCTGGTGATTCAGGAATTAAAGGTTATTGTCATAATTAGTAGTTTTGAAGTCTTCGGTATTTTGGCTCGGGAACTTTTTGAGTAGAGGAACCTCTGAGTCTAATCTCTCAAATTCATCAATAGTCTATTTTCCTAATCTTCGTGGTTCTTCATATGCATTGCAAACATGAACCCAAATAGTAACACACAAGAGAGACACAGAGTTACTGAGTCTGTAGTTTCTGCTACTATTTGACTAAAAAGGGGCTTTTACTATTCCTCTATTTTACAAGAGGAAAAAAAATAAAAGCCCAAAATGGATAGAGCAAAAGGATATTTTAAATGATGTAAACATTAGGAGAGGAAGTAATGCTGTCATCAATCTACGCTTGGCAAGAAAAAGAGAAATCCACTCTGAGTATGCCACAGATGCATTTTCATTTCAGGTGTATCGACACAAAGTGCAGATACCTAAATGCGAGATGCGAGTCTGTGCCAGGTGGAGGAGACAAGAGGGAGAGAGGGAGAGCGTGCAACTCAGTGAATCCCACTCAGCGACTTCAGAGGAGCAGCCAAGAGTCATTTAGGGAATGTCGACATTTTATTTATTTTCATTTAACCTTTATTTAACAAGGCAGGTCAATTAAGAACACATTCTTCATTCATTGTCAGGCCAATCTCACCGCTGCTCTGCTCCCCCCCCCCCAAATCTCTTTGTGTAAGTTCAGTTTAAAATCCTCACTGGCATTAAGAGACAAAACCACAATTAAAGCTGAACAACTGATTGAACAAATGTCTTCTTTTTCTGACAAATAATTTTTTCTGACTACTTGTAATTGCGATTTTAACTCCAGGCTGTGTTCTGGGGTCTACATGACATTAAACAAGATCAGTTTGAATCAACCATAATCACAAATTTATCTGGTTTCCACATGAAAAGAATAAGAGATACAATGATGCTGTTGCTTGTTGTTGAGGTCCTGCCAAGGTTCTTTTATTTTAAGCCAGTTAGACAGGGGACTAATCTTCTAAGTAAACCAGTACACAAATGTCTGCTGAGAAATGATGCAATGTACCTGTCTTTCTAAGTTTTAATAACTGACAGATGACCACTATTAATACTGTTGGCAGTTCTGCCCTGTTAGCAATGATGTCAACTTTTTTTTTTTAGCAACAAATGAGTGACTTTTTGGGCAGACATTAGCTTAAAGAGAGTCACCACTATTTCTTATTAAATGTGCAACTTGATTTACTCTCGTATTTATCATAAAGGTTAGTTTACGAGACATAGTTTATATCAGTGTTCTACATAAAAACTTAATAACTGCTAACTAGCTTTATAATGATGAAGCTAGTTAGTTTGAGTCACTTACATTTTAACTTCATTTTGTAAGCATGTACTAAATCTCTAAATATGCTAATTGTTGCATAATGAAATTCACAGAAAAGCAAAGATGATTCAAAGAAAAGACTGCTTCGTAGTCCTGAATCCTAGAGGTTTTTATTTAAAGTTTCAAATTGATAATCAATGATAGGATATGCTTAAAAAAAACTGTAGGATTCTGACTTCTGTCTGCTACCCACCGGCTGTTGGTCAAAAACCAACCGAGTGTTTCTAAAGACTCTTCACAGTTCACTCTCCAATTTTCAACATGAACACAGAATAATGTTTCTTTTTTCACAAACAGTAGTAAAAGTGCAGCACCAGCGTGCAGAGAGCAGATAACATTAAACAGGCAACAGTGGTTGCAGTTCGTTTGGCCGCCTCACATAATTAAGTTTGAAAGGTTAATTAGCTACAGCTGAGACTTGTCCTTACATCCAACAAAACGACTAAAACAACTTTAATTTCTACACTTCTTTAAGAGATCTTACTGTAACTGTTACTAAAATTTTGGCTCTCGCTAATTTTTTAAAATTGCAGTCAAATGCAGTTTTGATGAGACAATAAATTATTCAACTCTGAGAACTCTAATGCAAATAATATTTCCTCAACTGAAGTAATATTGTTGATGTTAAAAACACTACAGCTACACTATCATTACATACTATTCATGTAAAGATTGTGTAAGTCTGTCTGTTAAGTCTTTCTCTCCTTACCCTGTTTTCTATCTAGCTATCTTTCCTAAATACTCAGCCATGTATAAAACACAAAAACTGCTCTCCACAAGTGCTGAGTATTCCTATACTTAAATTAGGGATAATTAATTTCCAAGAAACACGGCTGACGTGTTTTAGCCACCCAAGCTTGGCTGCCCTTCTAGGTCCTGCATGGTTAGGAATCGATTTATTATTTCACTCACCAGTAGTCCTTTCATTGCTTGAGATTTAATTAACTAATTGATTTGTAAAAAGCTTGAATACATTGAATAATGAATTAGCAGAGGTCGCACAGTGTTCTCTCCATTCTCCATTATAGGAGTTATTTGCAGGCCAATATTTTAGCATTATTGCCTCTGGTAAGGAACCACAGTAACCTTTCTATTGATCAATGCTTTCCACCAGTCTGCATCTTGCTGGGTGTGTATTGTCATTGTATATTGGAAATAGCACTCGGGCTATTTATCTTGCAAAAGCTAACTTTTTTCTCACTCCTTTCTTCCACCTCTAATTCCAATCCATTCATACGTAACAACAAACATTTACAATCCAAAAGAGAACTTACGATTGGTGGACGCTGCAGTTGTAGAAGACCAAGTCCACACTAGCAAACTTCTTTCCCGTCTCCTTCGACTTCAGATACAACTTTATCACACGTTGGTCACCTAAAAGGAGTCACAAAACACCATATTACCAGCGCTTTAGTGCTATAGTGAACAACTGATATTATCAAATATAGTGTATGTAAAATGTTTCATGAATCCAGGATCATGCCTGAGCTGGGGCACTGTATTCTGAAATGTTAACAGCCTCATTTTAGGTGTTAGTTGTCAATTCCTATATAGCTGACATTTGGAGCCACAGTGTTTCTGCTGGGAAGAAAGCAGAGCCTGGAGCAGAATCAATAGAATTGGTAGAGAAGTTACTCGGTGTAGGAAACGGTTCAACTGTCCATATACATTTACGGGTTTTGTGAGTTTGTGAATCAGCAGTTTCTTGTTTTGATAATCACAAAGAAATGGTTGCAGTTAAAGAGCAGAATGACTTGTGTTTTCACACAGTTGAATGAGCAGGCTGAATGAAGCAAACAATTTGTGTTTATGCAGCATCAAAACTGCTCAACCGAAAAACCCAGAATGAAGCAGAGTCTCTCTTCTCTGCAAAATAAAACTTTGTCAAAGCAGCAACAAGGAACTTTCATTTTGTGTTGATTCTGGCAACCCCTGTGGACAACCCCACCTCGTTTTATTGATTTCCCAGGGAATTCGACCGAATCTGACCCGGTGGCAGGCATTAAAAATAACTAGAAAGGAATATCAAATCTTCTTGCTGACAGTCTCATTTGTTTATGTAGGTCATATAGAGGCATGAGTAATTTAGACTGTTTCATAACCAGTTAAAAACACCTTGTAGTACATTTAAGTGTCAGAATTGGTCAGATTGACAACTGTGGTAGCAGGATTTACTGTGACAGATGCCCCAAATTTTTAAATAAGTAGTTGTATGAAGATAGACATGTGAGAGCGCGGTGACTGTTGACAACACCACTGCCACTGTAACATTATCAAAAAAATGTGTCCGAATGAAAAGTGACATTATTAAATAAAACTTGACATGAAACAAAAATGTTATAAGGAGAAATGTCGATATTAAATTAAAACTTCTGAAAAAAGGCATTTTGAAATCCAAAAAGTATAATAAACTTTAAATGACATTCAATAATGATCATGAAACTGAATGATGAAATAATATTCAATAATAATGACTTAGCTTTAAGAATGTCTATTTTTACAATTTAGAAACTTTTTCCTTCAGGTAGAACCCAGAAAGCAAAATTAAGAGAGGTCACAACATAGATCTACAATGCCACACCTTTCAGAAAACGTGTATTTTTAGAATTCTGGGATATTTTTAGTTTTACCCTGGTCTCGTGTGATGGGGGCCACCTCTTTTGTAGAGGGAGACAAGCAGAAGATCCGTCCACCGTAGATTCGTCCTTCTGTCTCTACGTAGTCCTCAAAGGAGCAGTTCACTCCAGCAGACAGACTGGGCACATTCTGCGTCTGAATTACCAACTAGGAGAAGGAAGGAAAGCAGAAAGGTGAGGGATAACAAAATTTAAAAGCGATATACTTCATTAGTGATGCAATAAGAAAGATATTGCCCCACAGCAGAAAAGATATGTGGCTAAAACGTACTTTTCAGCTTGAAATGATGGACAGATTGCCAGTGACAACACAAGAACAAGCTTTATTCAGTCTCATTCCCGATCTATCTTGTTCACTTTTGCTGTCCATCTTTCTTTCTTCCACTTCTCCCCGTCACACAAACAATACACACACTATGACATATCTAAACACACACACTGTACCTGCACTTCTGACATGGTGACAGAGACTGTGTCGGGCTGGACGGAGAGTCGGACGCACTGCTCCACTCTGGTGGTGAAACGCTGAGGCTCCTCTGCTCTCTCGCACCGATCTTTCCTCGAACATCTAGAGACGGAGGACACTACAATTATCATCTCTATCCAGAAACCTTGATAAGATTTAATTCAGATTTGTTTAAAGTTTTAACACTAATCCTATTTACTGTTGTCCTTGTTTAGGTAATATATATTTAGTTTGCTGGGTTTCAGTGTTTATTAGTGGGTGTATGGATATATGGGAGTAGATTAGGGAAGTGCAAATGAGCAGCGTATATAGTGAAAGGGCTTTACACGGCAGAGACTGGAATAAGGTGTGTTAGTGCAGATATGATAACTAGAAATATTGCACTCTTTCAACAGCACTTAAGGGTGTTGAGAGAGACAGTCTGGTTCTTAGGACCATGAATTTTCTATCCTGTCAAAAATATGTAGTATGTAACCAGGGGTTGCATTAATCAAAATGAATCTATGGTTCACCAAAGTTTAAGAGCGCTTATAAATAATTCTAAGGCTGTGTGAGGAAAAGAAACCCAGTATAGCACCACAGTCAAATATAAAGCCAATACACAAGCAGAGTGAATACCAAACGTGTATATAGCGTCTGTTCAGGCAGAGCTCTGAAGTTGCACTTGCATTAGCTGATTGGCACCAGCTGCTCATTCATGCTTCACCATCAGTGCCACATTTATCAGCTGGTTGGCTATCGACACAGGTGTACATGGTGGCCTTCAAAACCTGACACTTACTTACTCTGATGGCACATTCTGTCTCAAGAGCTCCCTCCTTGACCAGAGCCTTTTCTGCTAAATCTAACCGGATATAATTTGCTACAAATAGTGTTTACATCACTAGGAAATTTAAATTGGCCAACTTGATGCTGATTGGACTGTAAAGAGGTCAGTATGAATCGAATCATGTGCTAGATCATCAAGTCAGAAAAGTCAAAAGACTGCCTGAAGGTGTGAGGTGTTATCCCCATTTGAAAGATTGTTGCCTGTATCACTGTTCGCCCCTGGCATAGTGTGGAACTGACTCCATTGTGGTTCGTGCTGGTTTGAACCATTCAGAGCATTCAACCAAAAATAAATTGGTTTGGAACCCAAAAGGTTGGATCCCAGCTGGGAACTAAAATATTTTTTGCTTAACCTGAAGTGTGAACGGAGGTGGGTGTCATACTCTACAGGTTGTCGTGCACTGTGCAATGCCCTCCTGATGATGCGTCCTTGATTACTCAAAACTGGTGGAAACACAGGCTGATTTGCTAGATAGCACCAAGGTTCTAAGAGTCTTGAACTGAACTGGTCCAAAAACCAGAGCTAATTTGGTGGAAAAGTCTGAAAAGTAATAAATACTTTTGCCTGCAGATTGGGAAAAACTGGTTCATTTTGAGCATACACAGGCCTTGAGTCTAAGCTGAATTGGATTAGCAAAGTGACACAGTCATAGACGTGAACTCAAACTCCCATATATTTATGATACAAAATGATATATAAATAACCTTATTTGTAAAACAAATCCCAGGTGAGCTTCTGAGAGCTGACAGTTTTTATTGTCACTCAAAAATCTAATTTTCGATCCAGACAATACATATGAATTAATATATATTTTGGCAGAATTATTAAATATGCATTTTAACGCAACCCTTACAAATGTGGCACACGCTGACATTTGGAGTGTTAACAAAGGCAGTGTCAAACAGGTCTACATAATACTGGCCATGAACATAAATATGACTAATAAAAAATGTTGACAGAATTTCCACAATTCTGTCCGTCACACAAAGAGATTAGAAATTACAGCAGAGCACCCACTTCCTGTAACCACTGAAATTACTGCACGGATACAACATAGTAAGCAGTTTATGCACTTACACATTATGTAGCACACACCAGCCACAGTGAGGGTCTCCTGATCCCAGGCAGGCTCCACAGGAGGTGTACTGCTCACAGCTCTCCACTGGTACACGGGTGACCTGGAAATAAACACACACACACACACACACACACACACACACACACACACACACACACACACACACACACAGGAACACACACCTGGTTAATATAGCACACAAACCCTGTGTATACCACCTTCAAACAGCTTATATCATATAGGCCTGATGCACACAGGATCTACCGGAGGTGTCCTGTGCCTGGAACATGAGATTAAAGGAATGAGCCCACTGTGACTATCAGAGATAAACAGCTCTGGAGGTGCTGCTTACAACTCCACACTGCTGCACACAAGGCTAGCTAGAGGGGGAGAAGTGGAGGTTTAACGACATGTAAACACACACATGGGTTAAGATTACACCCTCTGACAAACATACTGTGTACTGCCCACAGTTCTTCAGTGGATCAGAAAGCACTGATGCAAGCAAGCAGTTTATGTAAACAGAATCTAGAAAAAAAAGTCAATAGCTAACTGTCCACTGGAGCCAGAAACCGAAAAAAAATCTTAAAAGTCTGGACATCGTCCTTTCAAATTAAAACAGCCTTCTGGTCACTTCACATTACTTTTCATCACCTATAAATTCATATATGACAGGATGCCAGGTTAACAGCTGTGCATGTGCGTCCTGTATTATCTTGTTATTTTCATGGGATGGGTATTATTATTATAGAACTTTCCATTGTTGAAGAATCCCCTCTTTTCACTGGTAGTATGGAAACTGCATTACAAGTGAACTGAACAGACTGAAACTGAAAAAAAAAAAAACGGTTCGGAGAGCTACTACTTAAAAGTGGTACTCCTAATTTTACACTTTAATTTATTTTACTAGTCATGAGGAGTAAAACTCAGCATGTGATTCATCAGGAGTATTCTGACGTGGGCTTGGACGTTACATATTTTAGTCATGCTAGCAGCGTGGCTCTAGGGATGGCAATGTTGGTCAGTCGCCCCACCACTACTGACCGCCATCATCAGGATACATAGTTGTCTTTGTAATTATCATTAAACAGACATGCTTTCTGCTACTGTCTGCATTTACACCATCCACCATCTGTCTGCACGATTATCAGGAAGAGTTACCTTGAGTTTCACCCAGGATGTTGAATACTTTGAAGATGGCATTTTGAAATGCTTTAATCACACCTGCGCACACTCAGGTTCTCTCTGAAATCTCCAAAATCACCAGTGTATCAGCATCCATGTGTTTTATCTGCAAGTCCCCCAGATTTATGAATGTACGATTAAATAATTGCTGGAGTACCCTTTTAAGGTCTTTAATGCAGCAATGAACCTATTTTGCAGGGCTGTTTTGCCTTGACTTCATTACCACACATTCTGACAAATGATATCCCATCAAACTTTAATTGTAAATAAAGAAGACCATATGTTCTTTATATAACCTTCATGCTGTCAAGAACTAAAGCTTCAGAATCATCCTTTAAAATGGGAGTCGCAGCACTCAAATGAAAATTGAGCAAAAAGGAAATACTCAACCTTCATTCCTGTTTTTTTATTCTTACACATGGCTGACAGATGTCTGCACAAGCCCTCATCAGAACATAAGAGGGCCAAGTTTACTGAATGCCTGGGAATTCCTTGCAAAGAATATGCTATTGTACTTAACACCGTTGAGATAAACATCAAGGATTACTCCTTTTGTCCGCAAAATCTTTACCGGCTGCCATCTGTGTGTCTGCATGACTAAGATAAGATGAAACTCCAGTGTTCTCTTTGGGGAAATTGGAGAACTTGGTCATAAAACAATGCTGTTCAAATTCACCTGCCTGTTAAATTGCAACCAAAGAAGAACCCGAACATCAGGGGAATTATCATTTACAAAGTCAATTTCCACACATAGTTGTCTTTGCAGTTATCATTAAACAGACATGCTTTCTGCTACTGCCTGCATTTATACCATCCACCATCTGTCTGCACGATTTACTCAGGAAGAGTTACCTTGAGTTTCACCCAGGATGTTGAATACTTTAAAGTCAAGGAGTTATCCTTTAAGACGGCATTTTGAAATGCTTTAATCACACATGCACACACTCAGGTTCTCTCTGAAATCTCCAAAATCACCAGTGTATCAGCATGCATGTGTTTTATCTCAACTTGCTGGATGCAGTTTACAGGTGACAGACGGATTGGCAGACAGGAAACTGCCTCAGGCAAAAAAACACACACACACACACACACACACACACACACACACACACACACACACACACACACACACACACACACACACACACGTGAGAAAGTTACAATTTGGACCAAACTGAGAGTCTGAGACAAAGTTTTCTGGGGCAGTTGTTAAATACTTAAATACAACACTGACCACCCAAGACACGTTGACACATGTGAACACACACACGCACACACACCTCCAGCTGCCTCAGTCAGGTGAAGAACAACATCAATAACACTGCAAAGGCAAGGGGCACACCAGGTGAGCTGGAAGGTGGTGAGGGTGAATTCTAATGGCAGCTGCAGGCACAGCAGTGTAGAAACCTTCAAAGAGGAAACTCTACCTTTACACACTGTTTTTTTTTTTTTTTTTTTACTTCTCTACCTTCAAACAGTAGATCCGACTCTATTTTTTGTCTTTTGCCTGTACAACTGCTGATTGATTAATCAGACAAAAATGCATATGTTGTTTTTTATCTCACTGTACACTCCCATTGACTGTAAATAAAGATGGACGACATGACAGCTCTACAAAAGTAAGGCCAAAACAGTTCGATCAGGCCCGGGTGGCTGGCTGCGGTTTAGGTCATACACCCCGCCCCCTCCATGTTAGCGGATTGGACATGGGCCAGACTAAAAAAATTTAAAAGTGTTTATACTTTCCCCCTAGCTTCACCATGAGGTTAATAATTTTGTTTATTTACTGAAATATCTCAACAACTATTGGATGGATTGCCATAAAATTTGGTACACACATGTCCACTGACTGATCATCTAGTGCCATCAGCAGGTTAAAGTTTCACTTATCCAGTGAAATATCGTATCAGCTTCAGTTGTAAGTTTAGTGCTAATTAGCAAATGTAAGCATTCTCACACAAAAAAACTAAGATAGATGGAAGCTGCAACCAGCAGTGTCAGGCTACACAGAACAGATCACGTAGGCAGGAAGTCAGACACATTTTAACATTTGAAAATGAAAAGCCCTTTGCTCACCCGACTGTAAAACAATTTAACTACGTTGTCATGGTAGAAGCACATAAATCAAGCAGTATGTCCAAATTAACAAAATAAAGGGGGACAGATTTAGTTTAGATTTAGTATAGAATTTAGTATTTATAGTATAGGTTAGACCAGAGAATATCAAAGATCCAAGACGAAACTGGGAGAAGAGCGGGACTGAGAGAAAAGGGCCATCTGCTACTTCAGCACCATGGACAGTGCCATGGATATATCAATACACAGCGCAGTTAGGCTGCTGATATTTCAGAGCCATGGTCGGGGCCATAGATTCTAACTTACACAAGCCTCAGTCAGATAAAGCATCAATGAGTAAGACAGACTAGACTAACTAAACCGCCCTGCTGCCCTTGCACTCTCTCTGTTAGTAGGCGATGGAGAGGGGAGTGGCAGGTTAACAAGGGGGATGCATTTTGGACATTTTGCTAACAAGGGGTATGGCACCCCCCTCCCCCCATCCCTTCTCAAATCGCCTAATGTCAACAGTGTAGAAGCAAAAACCTTCCACTGGTCTGGGAGCTGCGCTATATTAGCAAAGTCATTCCAATACAAATAAAGTGCCTTTTGTGGTAAGGATAAACATGTTCCTAGTATGATGTTATTTCTAAAGTTGCATCCCTAGACAGCTTTCATAACAGCACACCTCTCAACGTGATGACAGTAATCCCTCAATTTCATCCTCAGACTGTACATCTCTTCCTCCTGTGTCACTCTGATGTACAGTTGGGCACAATAGCTTATGGCAGATTCATAGCATGATAATAGTAACCTGTGTCTGATAACTATTATAATGCTACCATTACCAGGCGCAGGCCTCTTACAGGACACCAAATAGCAGCAAATTGCAGTCATTACTCGCGCCTGGACAAATACCACGCTAGTAATACAGCCTATCTGATAGAGGGAGGAGAAAAAAAAAAAACATGTCACGCTCAAGCACAACAGCCAGGGAGAGAAGTTTATTCAATGGGGCTTTGTGGTAGTGGGGCGGATGATGTATTCCAATGGAACAGTTCAATTATTGAGTTTTAGAAAACAGATAATGGGATGGGAAACGGGAGATGCTCAGCCAAAGACTCTTTGTCTTACTGAGGTGCCTAGTGAGTGTGTGTGTGTATGTGTGTGTGTGTGTCTGACAGTAAGTAAGTGAGAACCACCTATTTATATTAAATATGGTATTTTCATCCCCAGCCTATTTGCTGCGGCAGAAGGAAAACACATTCATCTGTGGACAGTGGTGGGAGGTGGGGAGGGGGGGAGGCAAGGAAGGGGGGAATTAGGAGAGGAGGTAGGGCAAAATAGAACGAATGAGATTGCAATGAAAATATGTCCATTTCAACTGTTAGTTTTAGTCTTCAAACTGATAATGGACAGCATTTGTGACAAAAAAGAAAAGAAACAAAGAACTTCCATTGGGATTCAGACGCTTTTTTCACCCTTTTTTGTGATGTTTTTCTGGAGTGGAGGAAAGAGGGGGAGTAGGGGGAGATGATGGGGGGGGGGGGGGGCGTTTATTACAAATAAATAACAGCTTACAAATGAGGCTCTCTCATTTGGGTCATGATAGAGAGGCTCTTAATTTGCCTAGTGGCTGATGAGAGGAGGGGGTTAGAGAGTGGTAGAAGGGGGAGGCGGGGGATGAGGGACGCAGAGAGAAGGATGGATGAGAAAGACACACAAATGTAATTGCGACTGATGTTTCATTCCACATATGGGGCCTGTGCGGTCCCGGCTAGCCGCAGCTATAGGCCTGGCTGTAATTGTCCCATCTGTATAATATGGGGGAGAATATAAGGCACAATCATGACACAATAG